CACACACACACCCCCACCTCCCCCAATTAAAAGCTTCATTAGCCGCACTGCCCTGTCAAGCATATTGCCATAGCGTGGGTGCATTTACATTCCAGCGCAGCGCCTTTCCTGCCATCGCTGCCCCTGGGCCGGGTCCCCATCGCCGCCCCCGGCCCGCGGGGGTGCCCGGCGGGGGTCGCGGTGGGGCCGGGGCCGGGCTCGGTGCGTGTCCGTGTGCCCGTGGCTGCGGGGGATGGAAAGGAGCCTGTCCGCGCAGGGCCGTGCCGCTTTCATCATCAGCTCCAGCCCGCTGCGTTTCGCTGGCTCACRTCCTCCTCCTCCTCCTCCGCCAGACTGCTCCAGTCGCTCACAAGGAGGAGGCTGGACTCTGGAAAGGCGGCTGCTGCTCGCATTCCTGCTGCAAGGGCCTCCCCTTCAGACGGCCTTTGCCAGAGCAGAACTTTTAAAAATGCTGCAAATAGGATCTTCTTTTTCCTCTGCTTGCCCGAGCCCTCCTCTCCTGTGCCAGCGTTCCCGAGCGGGGCTGGTTCTCGCCTCTCCTGCGCTGTGCATCCCAAGGCGGAGGGCAAAGCGCCGAGGGCTCGCCCCTCCGCTCATCCCTTTCCCTCGCTCCCTTTCCCTCCGTTAAGGAAATGGATTCCTTCGCCTGAGCAGTGGCTCGGCCTTTGCAGGTTTGTGCACTCTGAGGATGAGGGCTTTTGCTGGTGATTTTCCTCCCCGGAGTCCCAGTGCACAGCGCTGCTCAGGGAACCAGCCTCTCGCTTTCTCTGCCTTTCTCTTTCACAGAAATATATTTTTAATGGCTGTAGGTGTCTGCGCCATGTGAAATAGGGCGTGTGATATCCCTCCAAACCCCTTGTAATTGGACCATGGCTGAAAAGGAAATATGGGGAGGGGGGTCGTCTGGAGGGGCAGGGGGTGCACAGTCTGTGTCGTCCTTGCAGACCTCCCCCCCTCCCGCCCCCCTTTTTCTCTGCTGAGGAGGGAAAAGGGGATGTGCAGTAAAATGCCGTCTCTGGGACAGGTGCCAGCTCCCAGACAAAAGAAGTAAAATAGGCGGTAAAGAGGGAGGGGGGGCGGGGGGGAAATTAATAGGCAACAAAAATAGGAATCGAAAATCTCCGAGAGGCAGGACTGTCGAAAGGGCTGGTGCCCGACCGGCCTTTTTGCTGAATATTTTCTGTGCGATGGGTGGGAAGGAGAAAGTTGCGGCACACTTTTTTATTCCCGTCTCCTCTGCAGACGTTTGGGAGCGTGAAGGGAGGGTGCCCTTTTTTTTTTTTTTTCCGCCTTTTTTTTTCCCCCCCCAGCTTCTTCTTTTCCCTCCTTTCTGCTGAATTATTCATATTGTCAGCGGTGAAGCYAGGACTATTAGCATGCATCAGACATGCTGTTTGTCTGTTTGCTAACATTCTTCATTCAAGACTTGTTAACTACCAGACAAGCTTAACACGCTTCTCTTTTTTTTTCTCCTCCCCTCCTCTTTCCCTCCGTCTCTCCCCCCCTCGCTCGCTCCCTCCCTCGCTCCCTCCCCTCGCTTCTCCCTTCGCTGCCGCCTGCCCCGCTCCCTTCCCTTCCCTTCTCCGCCGTCCCTGCCACCCCTCTCAGCCTCCCATTGTTGCCGCGGGGCCGGTGCAGAGCGGGGCGAGGCCATTCCCGGGCCTGCCCGGCCGCGGATGCGCCGCCTCGCCCGGAGCCTCCCGCCCGCCGCGCCGGGGACTGCGGAGCTGCGAGGGGAACACCCAGCGCCGCAGCACGGCCCGCCCGCCCTGCCAGGGTAAGCTGCTCCCGCCGGAGCGCGGGGGATGCCAAGTGGGAAAATCAAGTTTCGGGAACTACGTGGGGATCGGCACATTGGCTCGCGTTCTGCCCGGTGATTTATGATTAACCAGGAGTGCGCTACCAGCCCGCCGAGGTCCGGGCTCGCTCGGGAGGATCGCTTCGCTGCCTATTAAGGATGTGATAGACTAATATTTGCTATTGTTGCTGTTTTTTAGCTTCTCTTCTCGCTCTCTATCGAGTCTGCCCCTCCCTTCGCTAGCCTGTTTAAAACCAGCAAGCTTCATTTTCTTAGCAGACAAAGGTCGATCACAGCTTTTATTTCTGAATGCAAATGTTCTAGGACTTGTGCCAGTCCTGCCTTCATTGAGGACAATATAGCTGCTTTCCTGAATGGCGCTTCCCCCTTCCCTTCTGAAAAATAAAAATAGAAGGGAGCTTAAGAGAAGAAACAAAGTTGGGCGGTGCGAGTTTTTTTTACATTTATTTAATATTTCGGTCTGTGTGGAGCGTTATGGAGCATCCCTGTGCAGAGCAGCTGTAACGTAGGCACCAGCCAGTGCTTGGGGTTTGTTTGTAGGGACACACACGAGAGAAGGGACCTGGTGCCATTGCTCAACTCCTGGCTTTGCAGGTAACTACATGATGCTCCTCGGTCATCGCATCTCATCRCAATTACCATTTCCTGATTTTCTCAGCAACGTGAAATTGAACGTAAATATTTCCAGCATTYATGTTTGAATTTTTTAATGCCTGGAATCAGCTCAGGATTAGTTTATAATTACCATTTTTATCGTGCATTTTAGAAATACTATCTTTCAAGGCCTTTAGAGGTCCGCAAACGCCAAAAGTGTATTTTCTTTTTATCTTTTACGTGTGCGCCCTGGCACATGCTCACGCACACTCCCACTCCCTTTCTCTTCGGGCRTTAATGAAGGAATTTATTTTAAGTAGAATACTTAAATATTAGAGTAATGCCATTTATAGACCGCAGTAGCATGTGGATATGGATGTACTGAGTTAGGTGCGATTTGACAGACRGTTAAACACTTAAGATTTATTACTACTGTGAAATCGCCAGGCTTACGATAATACGTATTTTGAATTCTTTATATAGACCGGTCCGTGTGGAAATTAAAGTATCTGGAAATTAATATATTTCAAGACACTTTATGAGAAAACTAGTCCTTTAATATATATTTCTAAATCACAGTGCTTTTTCTACACTGGAAAAAAATGGGAGGCTTGTATAAAATATTTTAATATTTTCCTGTTAATTTTGTTTATATCTAGGATTTTAAGTAAATAACAGACAAAATACAAATAAGTTTGGGTGTTTTCTCCACACACTCACACAAAATAAACCCAACCCAAAATAATTTGGAAATACCTAGTGACTTATACAAAAATAGTTTTAAATTCAGGCCAGTGACAGCATTGTATCAAAACCATCTCCACACTGGCATTGCATTAGAAGTGGTTTATGGCAACATAAACTGAAATACAACTCRTAACTGTAAGTAGTAAAGCTGTATTTATTGGCTGATCATCCTCAAAGTAACTAGAGAATGTTTTAGTGAACTGTGTAGATTARGAAAGGAATTTTGGAGCATATGGCTTGGTGATAGCTAAAATTAATTTCTTCAAAGAAGTTTTTAGAGGCCTGTAGTAGTTACAGAGTACAATGCAAATAAAATATTAGATGAGGGTTTTAACTCATAGTCRTTGTTAGAAATTCACAGACTGCTGAACATTCCTCAGAAATTTCAAAGTGTTCGGTGATGTTGCTCCTGATGATGCTATTTATGTAAAGATTTTTTTTTTTAATTTTTTTTCCTTAGATTGTAATACTTGGGGGCTGTTTTATTGATGAGGACTAGCTTAAAGGAATAYGAAATTGTTTCTGGCATATTAGTTCATTATCCTTTGGTGGCTTGCTGGAAATGAACTCTGCAAGTAAAAGAAGCAGAACTGCCTGTTTTATTTCTCAGCGAGGGTTTCTGGAAGTATGCTGAAAATGAACATAGCAGTGTGTAAAGACCACGTGCATGCTAATTGAAGAGGGATTAAAATCTGTTCGTTAGATTGCCGATTTCCAGGGTTTGAATTTAAAATTATTTTTAGTCTGTAACTTGAAATATAACTGCTGATAGAACTATTCAGCCTCTCAGATGAATGCCTTCAGAAATTATGCATGGGAGCTGGAGCATTTACATTTTGAAAGTGTTTTGTGTTGGAGTGCCAAGATTCTCGTACAAAATGTTTGATGCGTGGAATGAAAAATGAAAAGCATAAGACAATACTTTGCTTAATTAAAAGAATTTTTTTTTGTAGCTGGCTAGGATGAAGTTTGGCATATTTTCAGATAATAATTATGAAGTTTTGCATATATTCAGGTAATAATTGAGTGAAACACAGTGAAAATAATCTAAGATGGACCGAGTTGGGGGCTAAACGACTGTTTGTCCCCCATCTCAATCCTCAAAATGGAATTTTGTCCTCCAAAAAGGATATTTAAGGAGTTGYTGATAAATGAACCGTCTCTCCTTAATCTCCCACATGTCTTGGCTAAAAATCCATCTTTTCCCTGAAAGTGTGGAGAAGGTGGGGAGCACGAGGGCAAGGTCCGTGTGTTGTAGGCCGGGGAGGGTGCGGGGCTCTGGGCAGAGCGTGGCACAGCAGTGATCCCACAGGAACGGGCTCTGYAGCCTTCCAGGGGATCCTCGCTGCCAGCCACAGCCACTGGGCCGTCTGGACAAACTTTTGAAATTCATTGGAATCTCGCCCGGGTGAGCACTGCCAGGTTTGGACCGGGCTAGAAGAGATTTTATTGTGGGTAAAGGAAAGGRGAAAGGGAGGAGGAGGAGGTGGAGAGGAGGAAGGGCGAGAGAATGGAGCGGGAGTTTGCTCTGAGGTGTGGGCGCAGTCTGGGGTGCTCTCTTTGTTGGGTGTGTGAGGTGAGGACTGTGGGGCTGGTTTGTGTTTTGTGCGGCCCTGTAGCTACGGCACCGTCTTCTCGTAGTGCGTGCCAAGTCTTCAGAAACCTTTTGTGGCATCTAAGGGGGAGTGAAAGGAGTGAAAGGAATGCCTTGTTTCACTCCATTTTTTTTT